CTCGTTGATTTAGTGGACGTCGAAATCGGCAAGGAATACGAAGTGGTGATCACAAATTCCTCCGGATTGTACCGGTACCGAATGGGGGACGTTCTTAAAGTCACCGGTTTCCACCACAAGTCGCCGAAACTACAATTCGTCAGGCGGAAGAACGTGCTCCTCAATATCGACTGGGAGAAGACGAACGAGGTCGATCTTCAGGAGGCGGTAGGGCATGCGGCCGAATTGCTCCGAAAATTCGGCACGAGCGTGGTGGATTACACGAGCTATGCCGACACGTCGACCATACCGGGTCACTACGTGATCTATTGGGAGCTACAAGCATCGTTAAAGGAGGACTTGTGTGAGAAGGTGATTGAGCAATGTTGCATTGCAATGGAGGAATCGCTCAACCCGATTTACCGGTTATTAAGGGTCGACGGGTCGATCGGACCGTTGGAGATCCGAGTTGTGAAAAGTGGGACGTTTGAAGAACTAATGAACTACGCAATCTCGAAAGGTGGTTCGATCGGTCAGTACAAGGTGCCCCGATGCGTAAGCTTCAAGCCAATAGTGGATATACTTGATTCGCGAGTTCTCGCAACAAGCTTTAGTACATCGTTGCCAAAATCAACCCGGGAGTGATATGTCACGATCCAGAGGGAAAGAGTACAATTCAAGAATGGCTGAAATACCAAAGCCAATGAAGAATGCATGTTGTTGTTTTTTTTTCTTTAAAAATAAAATTTGTAGTTCACTTTGTGATAAAATAAACATGGCGTTGTATGAGTTATAAAAATAATGCATAATAAAATTATTATATCGAGTCCTTTCATATGTCCGATACATTTTCAACAACTATACACATGCGTTTAGTTATTGATGTATGGTTTTGTACAAACTTGGACTGATTTTCTACTCATATATACTTTCTTCTTCGTATCAAAAAATAGTGAGGATTGTTGATATTAATTGAAACTCGTCGAAATAGGACAAACTATTATAAGTTGAAAGCTGCAACAACTACCAATTCTATTTAGGGTAAATTACGAAATCCCGAACTCAGGCTAAATTACGAAAAACACCTCTACCTATCCGTAATTACTAAAATTTATCCGACGTTTGTTTCAGTCTTACACTTACACCGACCTCCTTAAGGTGTTATTTTTCACGAAATCTTTTTTAATTCGAGGGAATATTCTCAAAAAATGCCGATTCTATACCCCGGCAGACGTGAGATTTTTTATGCTATGAAGACAAAAATTACCCTAGTGGGACCTTTACATGGAATATTTATTCTTCTTAAATAACACATTTAGTATTATCATTATTTCTCTGAGGGTAATTTTTGTCTTCAAAAAGTATCATAAAGAAATGACACGTCGGCAATGGTGGATAATTGACATTTTTTCGGAATATATTTCATGGAATCAAAAAGATTTCATGAAAAATCACACAGTAAGGGGGTCGGTGATGTAAGACATAACCCCTCCCCCAAACTTCCAATTTTATACACTTTGGTCCATAAAAATAAAAAAATCTTCTCTTAATCACCCCATAATATAATAGCCCCTTGCATACTTCGTCTTGAATAAAAACTTGCAGCAGCAACAATGCATGTTAAGGCAATTAATTTGAAGAGAAAAATGGACTAAGATTTGCAAAACAAGGCAAAAACTTCTTGCATGTGCTTACGCGATGTCAAAAGTAGAAAACCAAGATAGCATGCATCAGGGCGGACCCAGACCCTACTGGTAGAGGGGCTAATTTTTTTAGGAATAGGACAAAATTAGTAGAGAATTAATAATATAAAATAAAAAAGCACTAAAAAAATGATCAAATTTTTTTCCTGTACGGGCGGGAGCCCCGCAAGTCACACGGTGGTTCGGCCCCTGGCATGCATCATACTCCGCACATATCAAGTTACTGATCAAATGATTTATGCATATACTTTTTAAATTTGCATGCACTTTTTTTATCATTCTTTCAAAACCAAAAGATAGAAATTCTCTCAAACTCTCTTAAGCTTTTGGAGTTCTTTCTCAGATTCTGACCGAGACGACAACATATTTGAGGTAAATTTTACATTTTTTATGATTGTTTCATTACGTACATTACGATTATGGATTTTTTTTAAATAACATGTATGGTAGAGCTCGTTTGATTCCACGCGAGTGCTGGAGACTTAGTCGTGTAGAACCACACAAGCCCATGAGTATTTGGTTTTCTTTTTTTATATATTTAAATTGAATAATGCTTATTATTTTATTGAAAAAAAAATAAAAAATGTGAGCTCGTGTGTTTGTAGGTGAACAAGTGGACTGAGTTCGCATAAATCACGGGAGCTCGATTCATCGAGTTCGCATAAAAACACACGAACTCATATTTTTTTTAATTTTTTTCTGAATTTTGGGTGCTCGTGTCAAAACACGAGTAGGTACACTGTGCTCGCGTGTCTACACACGAACACAATACATGTGCTCGCGTGTTTTCACACGAGCACTTGAATTTATTTTTTTCATTTTTAATTTTTAATTTTTTTTTTTAAATATTAATTCAGTTTTTATGTTAAATTATAGATGACAGGAGCTAGAGGGAAATTTTTAATGAGTCAAGTTGCAGGTAAGGTAAGAGTTTGATGAAAGCTTTGGGTGGGAAGTCGAACAATCTGGAGTTCTTGCATCCGATCGTAGAAGGAAAGTGATGGCTAGAGAAGAAGCAAGAGCGATAAAAACAGTGAGAGTGAGAGAAGAAACTATTGCAGTCGGCTCCGGGCCTTCAGTATCTATTGTCGATGATCTTCTAGGTAGTCATGTTCGTACTCTGTTGCAGTATGAGTACGATGATGACGATGAGATGGTGGATAATGAGGTTGATGAAGGCGATGAGGACGAGGAGATGGTGGATGATGATCATGATGGTGGTGAGCCAGTAGCAGCGGAGGCACGCACAGGTGGTTGTGGCCTAAATTTTCCACTTTTGGATTGTCCGCCGTATTTGGAGGGTCCGTGCGAGGGAGGACGGAAAAAGTTGGAGTTTATGCATCGGTCCAAGTCACATATAGCGATATATGTTTGGGATGAACATGTAAGTTTATTTCTAATACGTGTTTTATATATTTTTATATTATGTGTTTTTGCTATCTATTATATGAAATTTAATTTAGGAACGCCGTGTTACTGGACGGTGCGAGTCGAGAATGAAAGCACTGGAATTCTACCTCGGCCCGTAGGATGACACGATGATTAGTAGGTTGGAGGCAAACGGGCTTTACCACTTAAGAGGCTGTTGGCTCCCTAATATGAATCAACAACTAATGTTAGCGTTCGTGGAGATGTGGTAGCCGGAGAAGAATAGCTTCCACATGCCTTGGGGAGAGATGATGATCACGCTCCATGATGTCGTTTTCATCATGGGGTTGCGATTGGATGAACTGTTAGTTGCAGCAGTTCCCCAAGCAGAAGAGTGCTCCCAA